TATTTCCACCCCAAATATTTCCACAGCCTTGATGCTTTACATTTTTTAAGAAGGTTTTCAAAATATGTCCATGTTAACTCTTCCATGGACTTTTGCTTATCACCTTTATTACTTCTTAAGTAAGGACATAAACCAAAATTTTAATTAGAAAAATATCCTATTTAATTAGCTATAATTATAAAAAGAAAATTGTATTAAGTGATTGCAATACATCACTTTAATAAACTGATTAAAGGCCTCCTGACAATAAGATAAAAATGTGTGATAAAAGTTAGAAATTAACCTTATTCTCAAAGGGAAAAAACCAAAAACCCTTGAAATAAACGTTGAAAACACAAGTTCAAATGTTTTTGATCTGCTTTCATACAATGATCCAGTAATTCTAGGGTGGAATAGGGCTCATTAATATTTGTCAAGTATGAATTACAGAATAGTTCAAAATTAATTATTTTACTTAAAATTTGGACCATAATTGTAGTGTTTATATATGGCCAGACTGAGGTCCCACAGGACTGGTTTTAATGAAAAGCCTTTAAATTGCCTGCATGTATTATTCTTTTCTTAAAGGAGTTTTGTTTTCTAGTGCTAAAGATGAGTTAATTAAAAAATAATAAAGGTTAATTAATTTAACTTCTTGAGATTAAGATAAAGAACAATAATTAAAGAGGGGAAATCAGAGGTTATCTTCTGATGGGTCCAGTAATCTCATCATCTTCACTAACGCAGAACAATGAAAATAATCAACTTATTATTTTTTTGATCTTTAGAAAAGACAATGTCAATGGATTAAAATATTAAGAGATTGTGTATCACCAAGATTAGTGAATGCTGCTCATGTCTCGGGACAAAGCCCAGAGATGGAGGGCAAATGAAGCAATCAAGGCAAATAATTTAACCCATATAAACTTAGAATTTGATAGCATAATGATAAATTTAAGAAAAGGAAATACAATTACCAATTTTAAGTAGAGCCTAACAGAAAATTTCTGTCCAAACATGAGCACAGTACACCTCTGCTCATGTTTGATGAGTTCTATGAAGGCTACATTTGAAGATCTTTTGGAATTTCCACTGTGAATGATACTATATCATTTCATCCATAAGATACATATGCAGTGAGGACTAGAGAACAATGAAGAGCAGAGGGCGTCAGGATGAGACTGAAAGGGCAAAGCTCCCACATTAGCCAAGTGACCCAGTCCCACATGTCAGGCTCACAGTATCTCAGTAAAGTTACAAATGAACCTTCCAGGGTTACTTATGACTCGTTGAAATGTCAAATAAATGTATGATCTTCTGTTTGGTTTTCCTTAATAAAAAACTTTCACTAGCAGCAGTACCTACTGCAGTTTACTTTTGGACCTCTTGTCTCAAAGAACTTTATTTTTAATATATTTTAACAAGTGCATGACGATAATTGAGCTGGCTGCAGGGGGTGTAGGGTTATTCGCTTATTCCTTCATTACCGTAAGACACACTTCTGGCATTTCTAAAAGTTCATTTCTAAAAAAGGTAAAAATCAGAGGCATGGAATTCTAGCCATATTCTGATATATTTTATCTTTATAAGCAGTTATAATATTGGTTTACATTTAGAATTCATCATACATTTATATCTTCTGTGTATGAGCCAAACATCAATAGTATGTATCTCTGAATACTGGGATTATCAGTGATTCAATAAACAACTTAAAAAAAAGAAAAAAAAACTGTTTATGATTTTACTTTCTAAATCTCTTATACCCAAAAACCAAATCCATTGCCATCAAGTCAATTCTGACTCATAGCGACCCTCCAGGACAGAATGAACTGCCCCACAGGGGAGCAGCTGGTGGATTCTAAATGCCGACCTTTTGGCTAACAGATGAGATCTTAACCACTGTGCCACCAGGGCTCCCGAATTTCTTATAAGTATAGTTCTTTTATTTGTGAAAAAATATTAACAAAACTGCAAGAAAACAAACAAAAGTTAATTGTAAAACCTTGGAAAAATACAAAAGATTATGAAATCTCATTTTAAAAAACTTTTGGCTCACCATAGACACATCCAAACTCCCTGAGGGACTGAACTGCTGGGCGGAGGGCTGTGGGGACCATGGTCTCAGGGAACACCTAGCTCAATTGGCATGACACAGCTTATAAAGACAATGCTCTACATTCTACCTTGGTGAGTAGTGTCTGGGGTCTTAAAAGCCTGTGAGCAGCCATCTAAGATACTCCACTGGTCTCATCCCTTCGGGAGCAAGGGAGAATGAAGAGAACAGGATACAAGGAAAAGATTAGTCCAAAGGACTAATTGTCCACAGCTACCAAGGCCTCCACCAGACTGAGTCCAGTACAGCTAGATGGTGCCCGGCTACCACCACTGACTGCTCTGACCAGGATCACAACAGAAGGCTCTGGACTGAGCTGGAGAAGGATGTAGAGCATAATTCTAACTCACAAAAAAAAAGACCAGATTTACTGCCCTAAAGGAGATTGGAGAAACCTTTGAGAGTATGGCCCCCAGACACCCTTTTAGCTCAGTGGTGAAGTTACCTCCGAGGTTCACTGTTCAGCCTGGGAGTGGACAGCCCCGTAAAACTAAATGAGACTAACGAGGTACAGGAGGAGTCCAGTGCCAAGGGCCAGAAGGCAGAAGGGGACAAGGAAGCTGGTGATAGGGAACCCAAGGTTGAGTAAGGATATTGTTGATGTGTTGTGAGATTGTTAACCATTGTCATAGGGCAACATTTGTAGTAACTGTTAGATGAGAAACTATTTTGTTCTGTAAGCCTTCATCTTAAGTGAGAATAACAGCACAATTGGAAGAGTGCAGTCAATGTCACTGAACTGTGTATGTAGAATTTTTTTGAAACGTGTATCTTTGGCTATGTGTATTTTCAACAACAAAAAAAAAAGGTTGAGAAGTTAGAGGGTTAATATGTTGTGGGGTTGTTAACCAATATCATAAAACAGCATGTGTACTACTATTTCATGAGAAACTATTTGTTCTGTAAACCTTCATCTGAAGTACAATAAAAAAAAAAAAAAAAAAAAAAACAACTTTTGGCTCAGTCTTCCAACTCCTCTCCCCGCCAAAAAAAGATACAAAGGAAGACACCTCCAGGAATGGGTATGTAGGTAGGACAGGCTACAAATTTATGAGAACAAATAGTCTTTAAAAGAATAAGAAGGCATTCTTGTGTAGAGGCCAAGTCAATCTTGTATGTATTGTTGCGACATGGATGTAGAAACTGCAAAAGAGAGCATGAAGGCGCATTCGCACAAAGGGCATCAGTTCAAAGTGTGTGACTGCTTTTCATTTCCATGCTTGATGGTCACAGTCACCGTTTTAATAAATTCAACAAAAGGTATGGCCAGAATTACATACAGGAACACTAGAATAACAAAATGAGCAAAATAAAAACAGTAGAGGCTCAGGGTTTCTAAGATCATACCAGGAAATACTATAAAAGGGAGCATACAGGCAATTAAGCACTAAACACAAATCACAGAGTGGTTAGGGAAAAGCAAGCATTTTAGAATGTTATTTTAAACTAAATTAAAAGGTAAAAAAATGAAGACAAAAACAAATGGTAGCATGGTTAAGTGGAAAAACCAATGAACCAGGAGGTACAGACCTAAGTTCTAAACCTAGTTCTGTGCTTAGGTAGCTAAGACACCTTTAGCTACACATCTAAAAAATTAAAAGATCTGAACTAAATTAATTCTAAGGCACTACAGTTATACGATTCTTTGAAGATGTCAAATACAAAATTAACACCCAACTGTCAGTGATGACTTGCCTGTTGCTATGATACTGAACAGGTTTCAATGGAGCTTCCAGAATGGGGCAAACTAGAAAGAAAGGCCTGGTGATCCACTTTTGAAAATTAGCCAATGAAAACCCTATGGATCACAACAGTCCAGTCCACAACTGATCATGGGGATGGGCAACATTTCATCCCATTGTGCACGGGGTCACCATGAGGTAGAGGTTGACTCAACAGCAGCTAACAACAACAAATTGATGAAAGTATTTTTTCAATGTTCTTTAAAATACCACACAGTACTCAAAAAGAGAGAAAAATACAGTACAGAGAAATGAATAACTGAAAGCCAGTGCTCGCAGTGGGCAGGTATGAAGCCTGTGGATTCCATTTCTGTCAGGAATAAAAATTATTTAATCTCTTAATTATACTTCAAATGAAACAACTAGTCTATACTCCAAAATCCTCAAAAATGCAGCAAAATAGACAAAGAACAGGTTATGAAAGAAACCCATACAGCACAGAGAAAATAAACTGGAACATTAAGATTATTCCTGGATCAAAAAAATTACTGTGAATAGTTCCTATATCTGAAAGGATCTATAGGAAAATGGTAACACTGGTTGCCTCTAGAGAAGGAAGCTGGGGTTAGGGTTTGGGGAATAGAAGTTGGGAGAGAGACTTTTCATTGGATTCTTTTACATATTTTGTGTTTTGGAACCATGTAAGTGTACTTTCTATTAAAAACATTAATTTTTAAAATTATTTAACAGAGCACACTCCAAAAAACAAAACAAACAAACAAAAACAATAAATTTTTATGCTTCAAAGAAAATGAAAAGACAAGTTACAGAATGGGAGAAAATATTTGTGAATCACTGTTCAAAACTTTTAAAATCTACAGAAATAGGATTCATAGGTTAAAAAGGTTAATGTTTGATTATTTATCATAATTAAATTCAGAAATAAAAGACCCATGGCACAAGAGTTGTGATAAGATGATAATTTTAAAATGGTATATTTTTATTTTGCCAGAGAGTCAATTCTGGATTTTGTTAATGTTAATCATTTATAAAATATAAATTAAATATTAAGTGCTTCTGTTTCAAAAAATTTTTCCCTACAAGATAAAAAAGTCTTCAAAAGTAACCCAATAGAATGTTACTTACAAATGTAGAATGCTTATGTTAACTCATTAACAACAAATTTAAAAGAAAAATGAAAGAAATCTTTCAATGTTGCTGATTACCTTCAGGAGAAATTGCAGAAGGACAAACTTCTCTGAGAAGATCTCCTAGTGTATGCAACTGTCCATCTGCAGCCACAGGACGAAACAGCTTCTGAATAAAAGGTCGTTCAGTTGTTGTCTGTGAAAAATGAAAAAACAATTCAAGCACTTAAGTCTTTGTTGCTGCTAGTTACAAATTAATAGATTAGACATCTTAAATTGGTATTAGGTGCCTCTTGATGTGGTATAATCAGAGGCATACAACATCGTAGATGCAGTATTACTACCCAAAGTATTTAACATGATAAATTCACATAAATCTAATCATGAGAAAACAGTAAGAAAAATTCAGAATGTGGGACATTCTAAAGGCAACTGGCATGGACTTTTCAAAAAAACTCCAAGGCATTAAAAAACAAAACAATTAAGAGATTGAAGAGACATAACAATTGAATACACAGAATAAAACTTGACTGGAAAATACTGGATTGGAGAAGAAAAAACTCAATTATCAAAGACATTTTTGGGATAAATGGGGAAATCTGAATACATAATGCATATTAAATGGTATTACTGAATGTTAAATTTCTTAAATGTGAAAATTACAGGGACAATATCCTTATTTTTAAGAAATTCATGCTCAAGTATTTACGGGTAAAGTGCCATGATGTCTGAAATTTACCTTGAAAAGGTTAAATAAAATCTGTGTTTGTAGAGACAGTAAATACAGAAGAATTTTAACTACTAGTGAATCTACGTAAAGGGCATATGGTATTTTAAATTTTCTTTAAATCTGAAAAATTTCAGAACAACAGATGCAGCATTTTCCTTGTCAATCAATGTCATAATTTATCGCTAATAATTCTATTATTTTGCACACTTTTTAAATTAAGTTACATTTTCCTAAGCTACCTATATAGGAGCACCACAAAGATGACGGAGCTCTCATCATGATGCAGAACGCAGAGGCTGTGGAAACAGCTGGGGTCACTGACAGCGCTATATCATTTAAGTGGTCTATGATCTTGCACCCAGTTTCTCTATCTGTAAATTTGGGGCATTTCATATCCCCTGTAATAAGTTTCTTGCGGGACTAAATGAGGAACTGTGCCAAGCACAGAACAGGCATAATATCATTCTTTTAATTTCAGTTGGGTCTGTCGTGATATCGCCGATCTCATTTCTTATTCAGGTTATTTGCTTCCTCTCCTGTTTTTCTTTTGTCAGTTTGGCCAAGTTTGTCAATTTGTTGACCTTTTCAAAGAACTAGCTTTTGGTCCTGTTAACTCTTTCAATTATTTTTCTATTCTCTACTTCATTTAATTCTGCTCTAATTCTTATTATCTCCTTTCTTCTGGCGCCTGAGGGCTTCTTTTGTGCTCTCTTTATGCTTGCTATAAACTGACCTCTGAGCACTGCGTTTGCTGTGTCCCAAAGGTTCTGGTAGAATGTGTTTTCATTCTCATTTGATTCTGTGAATTTCTTTATTCCGTCCTTAATTCCCTCTATAACCCAGTAATTCCTGAGCAAGGTGTTGTTCAGTTTCCAGGTGTTTGATTTTTTTTTTTCCTTGCTTTTTCTGTTGTTGATTTCTACTTTTATGGCTTTATGGTCAGAAAAGATGCTCTGTAGTATTTCGATGCTTTGGGTTAAGGCTTGCTTTAGGGCCTAAACTGTGTTCTATTCTGGAGAGTGCTCCGTGTGCACTGGAAAAGAAAGTATATTTGGCTGCTGTTGGGGGGAGTGTTCAGTATATGTCTATGAGATCAAGTTGGTTGACTGTGGCATTTAGATCTTCTGTGTGTTTAATAAGCTTCTTTCTAGATGTTCAGTCCTTCACCAAAAGTGGTGTATTCAAGTCTCCTACTATTATTGTGGAGCTGTCTCTCTTTTTATTTATTTTTTATTGTACTTCAGGTGAAGGCCTACAGAACAAATAGTTTCTCATGAAACAGTAGTACACATACTGTTTTATGACATTGGTTAACAACCCCACAACATGTCAACCCTCTCCCTTCTC